AGCAGGAATCCCACACAGCACAGTCCCTTCCCAGGCAGAGCAGCACAGCCATAGGCATCAGCAAAGCCATCTTCCTAATTCAGATCTCGATCTGCCAGGAAGGAGGAAGGCGTCATGCACATACAAAGGGACGATGAATGAGCAGAGCAGGCCACGGCTGCGCCTGGAGGGGAGGCGGCTCCCGCTTACCTTGGTTACGCCCGAGACCTCGCCCTTCGCTAGCGGCGGGCTGATGGACGGCACGTAGACTCTGGCGTCCGCGACCGGCTGCCCTTTCATGAAATGCTTTCCTGATTCATAAATGTCCACTTCAACCATTTTCCCCATGAACGAGGCGTTCTTTGGCACTAACACCTTTAAAAAAAATTCAGAACCCTTAGTTTTTAAAATATAAACATTCGCTGCCGGCTCGGCTGTGGGTTTACAGGATTGTGACCAGGAGCACATGGATGGTCCCTGGGGCCCAGCACCGAGCTTCCTCCGGGGACACCTGATGTTAGCATGGTACGTGCGTCACTATCAATGAGCCGAAACTGATCTATCAGCGTTAGCCGAGGTCCACACTTTATTCTGATTTCGACCCTGTCCCCATTCTGGGATCCTGTCCAACCTGGACTCTATCTTCCAGCTGCGGGAGGTCAGGATCCTGCGGGAAGAAAGGCCTTTCTGGAAGGGGCTACCGGCTGTGGACGGCGCTCTTCAGCACAGGGTGCCGCTGCCTGGAGGCCTGTGGGAAGCAGACGGACAGGTCCCTGACACCTGCAAGCCACTTCCGGACAGGCCTTTGCTATTCTACGCTACTCCCGGCTTTCCACGCAATGAAGAAAACTGAGACAGACTGACCATAGCCCAGGGAACTGTGGGAGAGCAGTCTGGGCAGACACGTCGAACAGCGGCCTGTGTGCACGCATGTCAGTGTGCGTCCACATGCATGTGTGTTTCAGGGACCGGGAAGCGCATTTGAAAGAACCTTGTCAGTAACCCGAGCGCTGACATTTGAAGCTAAGTGACTCTCCTAACTAAGGGCCACCGTTTGTCACTCCTGCTCCGTTGAAAAAGCACTTCTGTTAGTCTGGGAGCCTGCCTCCATTAGACCAGCTGCTCTGGGGTACTCCAGCTGGCTCACGGGAACCTGGCATGCGGTCTCCTTCCACCAGCGATATCTGGGAGAAGCACATGTTTCCCTCCGCCGGGACTTGCAGGTCCTCGAAATGTATCCCGTCTCCCCCACGATTCTACCGAGAGTGAAGGCTCCTTGCCAATCTTTTCAAGTTGAGATCCAAGACCAACAGATGGACTTGAACCCAGCAATACTCTGACACCTAGATACGATCTTCACCTCTGCAGATCATCTTATTTAGGAAAATAATCCCAATGAAATCTTTGATACGCTCAGTTGTAAAGACAGGAGCCCGGACGGCCTATGGCCAATTACTCTAGAAGGCAAGACTGGACCGAGGTGCAGGATGACCGAGTACTTGGGCACCAGCAGTTGGCGTAAACAGCTATGTCGCTGGATTCCCATGTAGTCGACCGTGGTTCAAGTCCCAGACCTGATGGCTTAAATTCACAGTGGGCACCTGTGTATGCATGCCCAAGGTCCCGAGAGGAGAATGGAGGAGAACAGATTGCATGGAGGTGTAGCCATCCCCCGTGAGGGGTGATTTCTCACTTTCTGTCTCTCTGGTGAGCGCATGCACCCTATAGCAAAAACCTCTCAAAAAAAAAGGTGACTGAGTAGCACGCTTCACCAACACCCAGGACAAGGTCACGTCGGTGGTGCATAACCATGGCTCGCAAATGAGCCGAGCGCTTTAGTATCAGGGTGTGCGAGCCCGTTCACAGTGCTTTCTATGAGATCAGAACATCTCTGGAGCCAGCTACCCTTGGGAGAGCTGGTGCTGTTCTGGGGAAAATAACCCTCCTTGATCTGCTGCCTTGCTCTGAAAGAAGGGCTCAGTGCCTTTCCTCCTCCGGGTTTAATCGTTGGAAAGAGCCCGAGTGCTTTAAATTGGAGGAAACAGCTAATGAGGCATGCCACTGCCTTTAAAATGGAGGGAGAAAAGTTCCCCGCTGAGGCAAAAACCCAGATGGCAGGAGAAAGGAGCAGGAAGAGGCAACCAGAACACAACCGAGCTCCTCTCCTGGGCTGGCAGAAGGGTGACCTGGGCAGAGGCGGCTCTCTGGGGCGTATTAATGAGACAGGACAGGGGCGGGCTGGGCTCAAACCCGGGTGTGGACCTGCAGCAGCTGCAGCCTGGGTGTGCTGAGCATGCACAGGTGGGAGCCGACTCCACCTCCGGTGCTGGGCTGAGGTCCCCTCGGCCCCCGCTTTCCTGCGGCCGCCCCTTACTTAGCTCGGATGGCCACGGTGGCCTTAAGCTGGTCTTCCCCAGCTCTAAGTCTGGCCATGACTCACAGGAAAACCACTACTCTGCTGATGGGGAAGGAAGGAAAAGCAGGGAAAGCCAGCCAGTTTTAGGAAAAGTTAATTATACAGGATGACCCGCTAAGTCCCTGCCCCTCCTAAGTGCCCACCTGGGAGGGCCTTTCCCATCTCCCCCTTGGCCCTGCCCTAGTCCATGCCCCTGAGGGGGGCACTCCCGACTCTGCAACCCCTTTGGAAATTGGGATCGGAATGCTGACCCAGAGGGCGGCCTGCCTGGCAGCGGGGCAGGCTCTGACACAGGGTGGCCTCCACGCTGTCCCCACTGCGGGATGGTCCAACCCTCAGAACAGACACTTTCCCTCTGCTCCAGCATTTCCATCAAGGTAGAAGCTAGGGAAACAAAACTAATCAAAATGGGAAAAAATGAACCAACCAAACTAAAAAAACTGTCTGAGGGATGTGACAGTGAGAGGAAGTACCTGCCCTCAGGCTGGCATGGCCCTTTGGGGACCTTCCTGCATCTGAGCAGAACGCCCTACCTGGCCAGGCTGCAGGTCTCAGGAAGTAGTAACACTTGGACTATCAACAGCCCAGGAGGCTGCTCAGGTCCAATGTGAGCGCCCAACGGGACACAGGGCACACAGGTCTCCTTTCTGTCACCCGCACAGGCTGGGAATCCAAGCTGCAGGTGGCCAGGCATGCTCCTTTGTTACACGGTAGTCCACCCACCCCATAAAACCCCGTCTGCCTAAACTTTCAGACCCTTTCTTGTTTGGGAGATAAGCGAACACTGGCGTGCCTCTTACCTGCTCATAGAAGCGATTGTGGGCCACGTAAAACTTGGAATCGAAAGATTCTTCCGTTACCAACACTTGCTGTCTTTCACCAATCTGGGAAGAGAAAGAGGGGCAAGATTTAAATGGGAGAGAGAAGGGGGGACCCGGAGAAACCAAAATCAATGTTGGCCCACGCGGTTCTGTGTCCCATAGTGGACTCTGAGGTTTAAGAGCGTCTCGATTGCTAGTTATTTTACAGATGCCACCTCCAACTGTGGATCAAATTTCCCGAAAGACACGAACTACAGGTGAGACCAAATTAGTGCGGCATGGAAACTGACTTTCTGCATGACTCTGAAACAGAACTTGATCTATTTCCTCCTTCCACATAAGTAAGATAATTAAAGCACAAAGACACAAAAATCTTCTAAATATCACTTCGCGTCTCAAAACAAAGTTGCACAGCAAGCCAGAACAAGCTGCTTCTCATCCAAATTCATAAAAATATTTTGGCAATACGAAAGAATAGTAGTAAACATTAATTTGAGTTATGAGGAATGTTACAGTAAAGAAAAATGTGTCCAAACGCTTGTCATTAGGGCCTGCCTCTGTCTCACCATTCACAGAGCGCGTGCGGTTCTCAAACGACCAGCTCACACGCTGTTCACTCTCTGCGCAGACTTTCCTCTGTCACAGCTCCATGTTTGTTTGTTTATTTATTAATTTTAAAGAGAAGCACAGCAGAAGAAATGTGTAATGGTTCCTTTCTACAAGATCAATCCCCCACTTAACGATCTCAGCACACTGTTGTGAATAACCAAGACGTGAAGCCAGTCTAAACAATGCTTAAAGAGATGTGACTACTCTAAAGAGTCCACCACTGCCCAGCTTGTCCCACTGGGAAATGCAACATTTAAAGTATCAATTGCTTTCCTACAAGCTTGTCAGAATGTCTGATGTAGCAAACTGCTAGAATGTGTGATTGTGCCCAGAACTGGTTTTTTTTTTTTTTTCCTTTTCTTTTTTTTTGCCGGTTCTAGTTGATAAATACAACCCCCCAAATTAAAGCCTGTTGGCAAGATGTTTTTTTAAGAAAGAAATTCCTTTTCTGATTTGTAAGGGCTTGTCACCATGTCCAGGCGGCTACCATTTAGGAAAGATAAACACAGCTGCACTAAAAAGACCACCTAACAATTAAAGAAACCCAGCTCCCTCTCCGCAGTGCCGATACCAAGTACGCCATAATTAACTCCCGGGTTGACTGCAGCGACACGCAGCCCTCTTAGCCAAAGGTCGGAAGGTCTCTGAGATACTTGTCTAGACTTAGCTCACTCCCTGAACACCAAAGGAAGTTCCTGGAACGTTAACCTTTTCGTAAAATCAAGAGGCAAGGAAGAAAGTTCTGCCAACTTCTACCTGGAGATTCAACGGTTTTATTTATCGAGAAAAAGGCTGGGTTGAGGGAAGCCGGTGGTGTGGTAATTAAGGTGCTGCATCCCACATGGCCAACTTTGCAGTTCCAGTCCTGGACCCGGCAGCTTGCAAGACACACCAGATGCGTGTGCATGTGTGCCCAAAGTCCTGAGAGGAGAAGGGACTGCAGTGTGGCCAAGGCCCCCTGAAGAGTAATTTATCCTTCTCTGGTGAGTGCACAAGCCCTACAGAGGGGGAAAAAAAAGACGGTGAGCTCTGAACACTGGGAAGTACGCTCTGCTGGAAGAAAACGCGGCGTGTTTGCACACAGCTCACAGTGTGAGTTGCTGGGAACTTAGGATAAGGGTCTGCCAATGGTTCTTAAGGAAATCTGCAATTACACTTCGCCTAACATGAAGTTTTCTGGAAATCAATCTCACAACAATGTGAGACTGCAGAGCCAACGAGAATGTGTGCTGCTTCGTTCCTCTCACCGCTGGAGGTAACGTGGGCAGTCGTAGTCACCATTTTGGGGCGGTTCTGTTTCACCTGGACGTAACAATGAAGACAGAGGAACAGCAATACATACACAAAGTCTGAAAGACTCGCTAGGTTTATACAAGAGGGTCTTCAAAATATTCATAGAGAATGCATGTTACGAACAGACCGTGCACGGATTTCCATTTTTCTTGCATCCATTTTTCCGATAACTTTTTTTAGTCTACACAAAACAGAGGGCTATGCTGCTTTTTTCTTTTTTAATTGCCACAGAGAGCATGTGCTAGCCAAAAGGAGACAGAGATAGGGAGACAGAGATAGGGAGACAGAGATAGGGAGAAGGTACCCCTTAATAGAGTGTGGTGGCATTGCAATCCCTTCTCTATTTTTCCACCCTGTTGGGATTTGGGGTTCACAGGCACTTGTGCCTGATATATTTTTTCAAATTGCCAGGGCTGGGACTCAAACCATGGTTGGCTATGTGGGATCCAGCTCCCTTAGCCACTAGGCCAGGGGGCTAGCTTTTGATCAACCATCAGAGAACTATTTGTAGGTGAGTATTTAACTCTTTGCCAAAGGGATTCAGGAGACCTCCGAGCCCTAAAATTTCAGAGAGGACACTGACCAGAAATGAGTTTAAAAGGTGAGGGCTTTGCTCTGAAGCTGCTGCAATCCAGCCCTACCCCCTGAAACAACAACACCCCCCAGAGAAATAGATATTTAAGAAACAAATAATGAAATAATGAAAGCTCTTAGTGGGCGTGGCTGTGTGCTCCCACAGTCCCAGCTACCTCAGAGGCGGAGACGGAAGGATTGTAAGTTAAAGCCTGCCTGGGCTACATGGCCAGATCCCGTTTCTAGGGAGGGAAAAGAAGAAGTAAAGAGAAATTCTCAATATTTATTTTATGGATAAAGCCATGCTGAGGTTGAGGAAAGGGGAATTCAGATGGGCCTGGGAGAGGCAACTTTGCCTCAGTGATGTGGAGGAGCTTAGGGGCAAGCGAAGGGGGACAGGCCACAAGTCTCTTCATAGAACGGGCCACCGTGGCCTCTGCTTTCCAGCTGCTGTCTCCCTGCCCCACAGCGTAACCCATGTCTGGTTAAAGAACACGAGTGACAAGACTCGGGGTGAGCAACCCGATTTGCATATCCCAAGACAGGCTCTGCTGGCAGAGAAAGGGAGTCTCCAAGCCAGACAGAAAGCTGCACTGGAGAGGGGCAGGGCCGCGGACGTGCTTCGGCCGCTAGGACGCCACCACCCCGCTAGTCTGCTAATGGCAGAGCTGACCCTCTGGGAGGCGGGTCTGATGGCTGTCACGCTGCATCCGCACTCCGCCAGCTCTGCCGAGACACAGACGTCGCAATCCAGCCCTACCCCCTGAAACAACAACACCCCCCAGAGAAATAGATATTTAAGAAACAAATAATGAAATAATGAAAGCTCTTAGTGGGCGTGGCTGTGTGCTCCCACAGTCCCAGCTACCTCAGAGGCGGAGACGGAAGGATTGTAAGTTAAAGCCTGCCTGGGCTACATGGCCAGATCCCGTTTCTAGGGAGGGAAAAGAAGAAGTAAAGAGAAATTCTCAATATTTATTTTATGGATAAAGCCATGCTGAGGTTGAGGAAAGGGGAATTCAGATGGGCCTGGGAGAGGCAACTTTGCCTCAGTGATGTGGAGGAGCTTAGGGGCAAGCGAAGGGGGACAGGCCACAAGTCTCTTCATAGAACGGGCCACCGTGGCCTCTGCTTTCCAGCTGCTGTCTCCCTGCCCCACAGCGTAACCCATGTCTGGTTAAAGAACACGAGTGACAAGACTCGGGGTGAGCAACCCGATTTGCATATCCCAAGACAGGCTCTGCTGGCAGAGAAAGGGAGTCTCCAAGCCAGACAGAAAGCTGCACTGGAGAGGGGCAGGGCCGCGGACGTGCTTCGGCCGCTAGGACGCCACCACCCCGCTAGTCTGCTAATGGCAGAGCTGACCCTCTGGGAGGCGGGTCTGATGGCTGTCACGCTGCATCCGCACTCCGCCAGCTCTGCCGAGACACAGACGTCTGTGGCATCTTGTCCCCGCCACTGGCCAACAACAAAAGCAGAAAGTACGTCACTTCGGAAAACGGACACACAGAGCTGGTGCCACAGCCTGGTGGCCACAGGGAGCTGGGTGCCACAGGGCCAGCTGCCGTTCATATCCCAACCTTGATGGCTCAGACACTCCGGCCGCAACCTAACAGGAGGGAGAAGTGGGAGAGACTCCACAGGGACTGTCGTCCTCGCCCTGTCCCTGTCAGCACATGGAAGGAAGGGAGATGCGATCCCCCAAGTACAGAAGAGGCAGGAAAGCATGCCTTTCACTCAACCTGTGTCTGGCGCACAATACGGGTGCTTGGCAATGAAGACGCGACTGGAGACGCCCAGACCAAGAACGCTGTCCAGGGTGACGTCAAGAGAGCGTGACATTCGAGGGCAGAATGGAAGGTGACAGTGATGTGGACGGAGACAGAGTAGCCCTGAGCAGGAACGCCCGGTTCTCGCAGACCCAAGGGGCATCTAAAGAAGGCCATTCGCCACCACCCCCCGCCATGAATTTGCAGTGTGCAGCAGGGGAGGGGACACGGAGCCGGGCTAGATTCTTCTCAGGTGAAAGACACTTCCGTATGTTTCGGGCTTTCACATTCCTCCTTAAACGTGGTGGAGGTGGAGAGGAGACAGGTGAATTCTTCTAGTTGAAGGACCTCAGTTCCAAAGGTCTAAGTCACTGCTCATGGTAGGCCTGTCATTAGAGACTGCGGTGCCCACCGGCTGCATGGGAATTTCGGAGAGGAAGAACTTTACCGCTCTAAGCCCAGGCTGTCCCTTTCTACATAACTGTGTGCTTAGAGTCCTCTGCAAATTACACGACTACCTTGGTACCCTTAAACCAATACCTTGATCTTTAATATCCACCAAGAAAAATTTACAAAACCTTTCGAAGGCTCTCACGTGACCTGACGTGTCATTAGGGAAACCTAGCAAAACCTCTACAAAGGTTTGAGTAATCCTAAGAAAGGTGCCTCTTTCCTTGTGATCGGTTTCACAGGGTTATACTTGATGGCTGATTAAATAAGGTACTGGCTTCATTTCTGGAAGTTCCGAGCTCGGGCTGCCCTTTCCTGCTTCAGCATTTCCATGGAAACTCGGTATCTGTTTCCAGAACCTGGACCTGC